AAGAAACAAAAAAGAAAAGCCAGTACCTAACTTAAAGGGTAAAGGGGAGAGGGTGTGATGAGAAAGAAGCACACAGTATGTGTGCAGGCCAAAGCAGAGGATTTTGAAGCAAAGTACAGGTTGCTGGCTTTTTTTCTTTCTTCTTTTTGAGACAGGATCTCCCTGTGCAGCTCAGTCTGGCCTCAAATTCAAGCAAACCTCTTGCTTCAGCCTCCCAAGTGCTGCAGGTGTTCTCCAACACATCCAGCTCTGATTTCTACTGAAAAGTCAGGAAATAAGGCAAAATTCTGCCCCCTCGCTACTGGCTGCAGGTTGTTTTTGCAGGTGCCCAGGAAGGTTTTGCAGGATAAGGGCAGATGTATTAGTGACCTCTGACCTTGGGATTTCCCCCAGCAGACTCTGGGGATTCACTGGCACTTCCTGGAGTCAGGCCCAGATTTGGGGAAGTAATAAGTGGGTCATGCAGGAAAGAAGACAGGGCAGGGATTTCCTAGCCAACTAGGATTAGAGAGCAAACCCAGAGCCCCTTCCTTGGGCACCTGTCACAAGAGTATGAGCCAGGTCCTGCACAAGGTGTTTGGGCCCAGCTGGGAACATGAGGTACAGCCACATGTAGACAGCCTTTGTTATCATGATACAATGTGATGATAGTTCTAGTGGGTCAGGGAAGTCAGAGCAAGCCAGCACATTAGAGCAGGCTTTAGATGTGGTCTTTGAGCTATACCCAAGAGTGTGAGCAGGACTTTGTCAGAGGCAAGTAGGAGATGTTGAGGACATATTAAGCAGAGAAAACACAGCCAGAGGCTTGGTGGCTATAGGGTCCCTATTTTGTTTGTTTTGGTACCTTTGGGTTTTGTTTGTTTGTTTGTTTGTTTTTGATACTGGGGATTGAACTCGGGTCCTTGAGCTTGAAAGGCAGGCCACCGAACCGCTGAGCTAAATCCCCAGCCCCTGTTTGTTTGTTTTTGAGACAGGGTCTCATTATGTAGTTGAGACTGACCTGGAACTCACTATGTATCCCAGGCTGGTCTCGAATGCAGCGATCCTCCAGCATCAGCATCCTGAACCCTGGGATTACAGGTGTGCACCACCACACCCAGCCTGGGTCCCTATTTTTTTGAGGCATGGTCTAGCTATGCAATTCAAGCTGGCCTTGAACTCACTGTGTAGCCCAGGCTGGCTTGGAACTCATGGTGATCCTCCTGCCTGAGCCTCCTGAGTGCTAGGATTACAGGCGTGCGCCACCATTCCCAGTCGAGGATCAATTTTTGAGAGTAGGTTGTAGATAAGGTATTTTCTGTGGCCTTGGGCAAATCACTGCACCTTGATGAGACTCAACTCTGCACCTGTAAAATAACCCTGGCTTCCATAATGCCTGACTTCCAGTGAAGCAGATGTTAGTATACTTAACAGGCCCAAATCTTCTCAACCAGGAGGAGGAGGATTATTGAGACATGCAGTGATGCGACAGGGCTATATGCAAGTCAAACGGTGTGATATTGAGGTGAATCTAACCTTGCACGCAGAGATAGAGTTCAATACAACCTGGAGATTCTGTTTTTGGTACTGGGGATTGAACTTGGGACCTTGCGCTTGCAAGGCAGGCAGCAGAACTGCTGAGCTAAATCCCCAGCCCTTAGTACAATCTGGAGATATAACTGCTTCCTGAAAGAGATAACATAGGAGCAGAGCCTCAAAAGGCAGGAGATAGGAGTAGACTGGTAAGAAAGAAAAGAGAATGCAGGCAGGTGGTGCAGCCTGAACAGAGGCAGAAAAGTGGCAGGCAGAGAAGGCAGTAGGAAGCACTCCATGGTGTGGGAGAGGGGCTAAGGAGGAGTAAGCTTCAAAAGATTGGACAAAGAGAGCTTGATAAGTAAGTACACCCTGAAGGCCACAGGGAGCCACTGCAGACTCTACCCCTATAGAGGTAGGCACCTTTGAATGTGGAAATGTTTTGTAACTGCTTTTATGTGGTGGGGAAAATAAAGGGTTAAAGTGGATATAGGCAATGAAGGAAGAATGGATGATAAGGAACCAGTTAGAGACTGGGCATGTAGTTCAGTGGTAGAGTGCTTGCCTAGCTTCTTGTGGCCCTGGGTTTGATCCTCAGTACTGAAAGAGGGAGAACATGAATCATTGTTTATCAGAACTTAATCTCATGCACATGTAATTTTAACCGTTGATAGATACCAAGTTTGGCATTTTGGGTAACATAAGTAACGGTGCATCAAGAATTTGACCTTGTGTGGTTTAAGGATTGCAAACAGCTTATTGTGCTACTAGCTGCACATCCATAGTAATACTGATTGTTGGTCTAAATACTTTGCAGATGGCAGAATCACTGAGCTAAATCCCTGGCCTAGAATAAATGTGTGTGTGTGTGTGTGTGTGTGTGTGTGTGTGTTTTGTACCGGGGATCGAACTGGGGACCTTGCACTTGAGAGGCAAGAGGTAGAACGACTGAGCTAAATCCAGCCTCAGACTACCTTTTCTATCCTTTCCATTGCATACCTTTCCTAAAGCAGGAGTTCTGACTCTAAGGGAATAGACGTTTGTATAGCTTAAAAGACTTAAAACAATTCATAGTTTTTGCTAATCTTCCCAGTAGGTTGTATCCTACAGAACTTTTTAAAAAAGAGCAAATAGAGTATTATGTACAATAATCAGTCTGTTCTGACCCAGTTTTTCCTGAGGACAATTGTTAATCAGTTTCCTGTATATGCTTTCAGAACTAAAAAAAAAAAGAGCCATTTTCCGCTGCCTGCCTCCTTTCAGAACTATTTTATGCAGATGTGGTATATATCCAATTAAAAAATTGATAAGAATGTTACATCCTGCTCAGTATCCTGGTTTTAATTTTTTTAAATTTGGGATTAAGAAATATATACAAGAAGCATAGAAAATGAGCCCCCACCCCAAAACAGATTTAATAAATACCAATTTTCACTGGCACTGTTTGTTTAGGTTTGTCTTGGAGATAGCCCCATGGCAGTACAACTACAGGGGCCTCTTTATGGTAGCAAACCCCAGCTTTAGAGTATTACTGGTGTTCTGTTTATATAATCAATTTGGATATAATACCCACTTTTTCAAAATTTATTTTTCATGGTACAAGGGATCGAACTCCGGCCCTTGCGCTTGTGAGGCAGGCGGCGGAACCACTGAGACAAAGCCCCGCCCATTTAATTTATTTAATACCCACTTTCATAAGGTCTGCCTGGGGAGGCATTAAGGCAAAGGAAAACAAAGTTAGGTCTTGACTTTGATTCATTTTTCTGCTCTGCCATACTTTCCAGCTATGAGGTGACCTCAGATAAGTGAAGGCTTTCTGTTTTTGTGATGCTGAGGCTTGAATCCAGGGCCTGGCACTTAGTCACATCCCTTGCTGGAGTAAGTGCTTTTTTTTTGTTTGTTTGTTTGTTTGTTTCCTTTTTTGGGGTGGGGAGGTACCAGGGATCGAACCTGGGATGGAGTGCTGTCTTGATCTTCATTTCCCCTATCTGTAATATGGGCTAGTTTAAAACACACACACTGGGGATTAAACCAGGCTTTCACACAGACTAGGCTAGGCAGGTCTCTACCACTGAACTACATCTAGGCGGGGGCTGGCTGTCTCAATCCCTCTCACAGTAGTCTCACAGCTACTGGGAAGAGTGGAAATCCGTAAAGTACAGAAACTTCGCTGGGTTTAGTTCCCCAGCTCCTTGGAACAAGAACCTCTCTGCGGGGACACAAACCCTCTTAGGTCGCTGCAGTTTAGTTTTAAAGCTACAATCTGTTCCCCGCCCCTCTCCCCTGACCATGCTGGGGGCGGGGCGGTTAAACATCTCTGTGACGTCAGCATTCGTAGGGCCAATCCTCCTGGCCGATAGACGTTAGCTCGTTTGCATGAGTCGCCGGTCATTGGTCTTTTGGGCAATGCTGGGTGAACAGGCTTTTAAAGGCGCCGGGTAGTATAAACAAGGAGCTGTGGGGCGGCTGAGTCATGATGTCATCGCAGCGCTGCAGCTCTTGGGGGTGACGTCATCGCCCGGAAGGTTTCCTGCTCTTTGGACCATACTGACTCCATAGGCCGGTTTAAGAGGCTGCCCCTGCCTCGCCTTGTCCGAGATCAGACCCCATTGCACTCCAGTGGCCTAGGAGGGGGCTATGACACAGTAAGTCAGGGCTGCAGCTCTCCGGGCGGTACTCATTTCTTCCGCAGAGAAACTGAGCCTCAGAGGCGCGAGTACTTGGCGTTTGAATAGCAAGTCCGATTTGTAGCCCATCAGTCTGTCTACCTCGTAGTATTTTCTTCATCTTTTTGTCAGATCCTATGACCCCGCCCCTTGCCTTTGACTGTGTCTGCTGTTACTTTAAATGCGAGGTGCGGGCGGATAGGAAGCTTATTTAAAACAAAAAAAATCTGTCTTTCAAGATGACTGCCCGCTGGTCACGTGCCCGGGGCGGTGAGTGATTGGTTTTCAGTGCCGCCCCGGGGCGGAGCCCTTGGTGTGGGGCGGGGCCGCCGCGGTCTTTCCGCTGGCTACTG